CCACGACAGCTTTTAGAGTCATGGCCATACCTCTGACATTGGAAGCAACGATGGGGGTTTGGTATGTATGGCCTGATTGAAGTTTTTGTGTACGCTGTTTGAATGGTTTCTGGCAATTTACTGGAAGCAAAGGTGAGTATTAGGTGTTTCGTTGATGTTTCCTTTTTGTCTCTTCTGATAATAATTCTCTGTACATTAGTAACATTTTGGCTCTTCCACCCCTCCAAAAGTTCAGCCTCGATCAGTTCAAGTAAGTCCATGTCAGATACCACTCCGCAAGTTATGTTCATAGATCTGTGTGGTGTTATAGTTATTGGTATACCACCGAAAGCCGAGAGACGGTCTAGCTTTTCAAATTGTTCTTTTTCCCGGATTTTGAGGAGGAGGTCTCTGCTAGCCATTTTGGTTACCTAGTATCCAGCGTCAAGAGTTTTGGTAAGACATCTAGCAACTACAAAGGGAGAGACGGTCCTGGCTTGCTTTCCAGTTTTTTCACAGTGGATGACATGAAAGTGAGGAAATGTTTCTGTTGGCCTGTTGAAAAAGTTAATGTCATCGGTGCGTACCTGCTTCAAGCCGATACGAGCCAAGTGAGGGGAATGCTTTATGCATGCTGGTTTTATTTTTATTCAGCAGCGTTGGCGACCACCCATCATGGAGCCCAACAAGTTCGTAAGTACTAAAAACTTGCTGACGCCAGCCGTACAACGCCACTATAACCCCATGCGCCTAGACTAAGGTAGGCTATTTGCACAGGGTTAACCCTCGCCCACCAGGAAAATTGGAAGTAAAAGGAAGAAACAAGAAGACAGGAAAGACAAAAAATGATGGCAAAGACGAAGGTGTAGAGAGAGAGGAAGGGATAGGAAAAGGTGACTGCCGATTTCCCCTGGGTGGGTCAGTCCAGGCGCGCCGTCTACATGAAGCTGGGGCCAAAGGGGTGTTGCCTCTGCCGGGGAGCCTTAAAGGTCCAATCACCCGGCGTCCCCTCAACCCCCATAATCCCCCTTTTCCCCGGACACGGCACAGCCACGCACGGCTAGGCATGGGAGGGAGTCGAAACCCTCTCATTAGCTCGGGTCCGTGGTGTCGCTACACACCCAAACGCCTGCATAAGCAGATGCCCCTGCGGGAATATTGAAACCGAAACCCAACCAAGTGCGCTTCTATGTGTGACGTAAAGATTTGCCTGACGCTGCCGGAACCTGCCTGATTGCACGTAATGTCCGCCAAATGGCACTTCGTGTCCGCGGCGATTGGCTAAAGCGCTTACGCTGTTATGGTGAATATATATGGCAAATAGTCTGTGGTTCACAACGCAACACCACTTGGCACCTATCGCACACCCATCAACACGGAAAAAAAAAATCGCATGCTCAACCAAGGAAGCGACAAGCAAAACCACACAATCCATAGCTTTCAAGCAGACGCTGAAGTGGCACATCAGTTTGTCCCTTCCGCCAGGCAAAATTCAACGTCACACACACAATGTTGTCATTAATTCTGGCAAGCGAGGTGAGCGCTTCGAGGCAAGCTATAAAATTCAGTTGAAAAGAATCTGCAAAACTCTCAAGCCTTCAATTTGGCATGAATGGCGCAAACGTGCAAATGAACTTACCCAGTGAATTTCATTGAGACCCACTGACCTCGAAAAATCGCCGGAGTTGGCCTTTAAAAGGGCCCTGAAACACTTTTTTGAGTAACCATGGAATTATTTCACTCAAAAAGGGAATTGCCTCACAAATTAAACGCTGTAAAAATTTTAAGAATCTGTCCAGTACAAGCGGAGTTACAAAGATTTGTCAGACGCTGCAATTGCATTTTCTTCTCTCGCCCCAACGAAAGCACTGGAAGCTAAGCAGAGGGGGATGGGAGGGGCAAACAAAAAACTTCACGCGCGCCTCGTGACCTTGAGCACTATTTTCTTTTTTTTTTTCTTCAAATACACGGCTTTTTCAGTGCGATCATGTGCACACGCATGGGCAAGTGACGACCTCTCGCAGCTATCTCTGTAACAATCGAGCGCCCCATGTTCAAATCAGCCAATGGCTAATAAATGGGTAATCTACGTGTGATTTTTAAGCGTCTTCCATCATTTGTCAAGAGAAGAGAAAGCGACTTTTAGCCAACTTTGATAATTTATTGTGAATTACAGGTCGCGTACTGCGCTATAACATTTGGCTCGCATGTTCTCGGGTGCTTCTACTACAGATTGGCAGCATTTTCTGACTATGCTCAAAAAGTGTTGCAGGGCCCCTTTAAGCATCATGTGCAGGCGTTATGAAGATGTTTTCACTGATGCAGCGTCTCAGGTTTAACAAAGTAATTTTTTTGCCTTAATAAAATTTTTTTCTATTGCTGTATTATTAGAACATTCTTGCAACAGTTTCCTGGGCACAAGAATCCTTCACTAACTGAACCTTTCATAAAAGGTGAAAAGTCAAGTTAACGCCTTAGGTGCTTTGGACGAGCTAAAGGAATAGGCACAGCCTTGTATTCATGACGAGAAATGCTCGTCTATGGCTTAGATTGCATGTCATTCACTAGATATCAGCAGTTACTTGAACAATTCAGTGTTCTCCCAAGACAGGAGCACAGCTTTTATATGGAAAGATAGCGTGCTGTGGCGAAAACCTATGCCCATCAATATGAAAAAGAAGCTTTTCATTTTCAACGTATTATTCATGTGATGATGATTCGGATACAGATGTTTATCTTGCGTGCTGAAGTGAAGACGACGATGCTGATGAATTGAGCAGCTCCTCCAGTGATGATGAAGACAGCTCAAAAGCAAACATGGCGAGTGCTCACCGGTGCAGCTGCTTTGCGTTATTTGTTATTTTTCCGCGTTTAAACTTTTATACAGTCCCAATGCTTTCTGAGTAAAATAGCCCAAGGTTGCTTAGCCTACATAATACCTGTCACAAAGCCACCGAATTCCATTAAACTCCATCATCATAAAATTCCCCTAGGTAGTTCGACAGAGATGGAGTTACACCCATGTCGCATGGCATTTTTACAACCTTTGGACAGGAGGCCCAAGGGGCTCATTAGGCGCTGCAGCACTTTTGCATGCAAGAATTCACGTCTAATACTTCTTAAAATACTTTCAATCGTACGTGTGATAATATAAACTCCAATTTATTTACACCAAAACAAGAAAAATGTTTTGGCTTTTGTCACAAACGTGTATACCTGCAAGCAAGTTGGCAGTAATGTTGGCCACACTGTACTTTTGTTTTGGTAAGCATCTTCTCTACATATGCCGATTCCGAGTTCTTTGAAGTTGCACTGTACCACGAAGATCACAATTTTCTTTACAATATCGAATGAGCAAAGGTCTCGCGTTCACCACGAAGCCCTTGATGTGGATAGGTCCCACAACAGTTCGCATTTAGTGCCGGCACGACTACTGGCGTCGATGAACAAGAAAGAAGACCCGCATCAACCACTGCTATAAATTTTGGACATGCAGTAGAATAAGAAGCACAACAATTAAAGGCGAACATGTTGCAGACATGTAAACACAACGATGCGCATGAGTAAAATGGCTGGCATGTTGGCCCGGACTCAAAGAAAGTATTGAAAATGGTGACGCCGTGGCTCTTGGCGAGTCATTGTGTGCAGAGTATGTACACTTGTACATGCATTTCCTTATCGTTAAACGCATGTCATGGGATGATTATGCTGTGAATGAACTTTTAATAGAGATAACATTTATTCCTGTGTTGACTGCGGCTAATTTTTCCGTAACTATATTACTGGGGACGAGAGTACTCCCTTCTGCGGCTAAGCAAGATCGCCGAACTCCCTTTGCGAAAAGCTTCATTTAACTTCCTTGACATATGGGAGACCGTGTGACACCAATCGCATCTCCATTGACGTAAAGACGAGGAAGTTAAATGGAGTTTACGGGTACCCATGCGACAGGGGTATTAGTAAAGAAGTAAGTGGCATCTGCAACTTTTTGTTTACAAGTTTTTAATCTTTATAGCAGGCTGCTGGTTTCCTATGTATTGTTCAGAAATAAACTTTATTGTGTTGATTTGACTAAGCATGCGGTACAAATATATATATATATATATATATATATATACACTTTTTTAAACATTGGCAAGCTGCTTTTTCGTACAATCACACTCGAAATCAGCAATAAAGAAAATAATGCACAATAATGGTTGGGAAATGTTAAAAAGAAAAAGCATTTATGGGGTTGACAAAGTTATGATATAAAGAAGTGCACTGCCAATTTTATTGACTTCATTACTTCGAGGCTTAACTGCAATATAATAAATTCTGCCTCATAATTGCTCTGGTTTATATTGCATCAAAAAACAAACCAAAACTAAAATGCTACTTTTGCCTGGCTTTTTTATCAATGATGTATAGTAAGATTTTCAAGCGAACTTTTTAAGACCTTATTAAACTGCTGGCCATTAGCACTTCCACATAGACTGCATGTCGACATGCTGGCCATGCCTTAACTGTATTAAAATTACAACTAATTTTGCAATTTTACAAGCCAAAACTAAGATTCGAATAATGGCACACTATATTGAAGAATTTTTGGGTTAATTTCGAGCCCCAAGTTTAGGAACACTGACGTTTTTGCACTTTGCTCCTATCAAAATGGTGCCGTCATGGATGAAAATTAAACCCATGGCCCTTTGCTTAATAGCCAATGCCATGGCCACTAAGCCACCATGGTAGGTATTAACTATTTATCACGTAGAAACTAAACATATTTACCACTAAATATACTCTACGCAGCAATTACCCTCATCATTTGTTGCATGCAGCACTACAAGACAGTTGTTCTATGAGCCTGGTTCATACATGTGCAATTTGCCTACTATGATTTGGCTTATTACACTACACATTCGCAGTCAATCTAATAATACATAAAATCTGTCTGAGCTGCTGGAGTGTTCCCCTTTTGGTCACCACGAACCTTAGGATATGAGCACAATGAACTAGCAGAAACGATCTGCAGCACCCACCTGCAGACCAGTTCCCCATCCATTGCATCATGGTCATCAGCTGTTGAGAATGAAGCACGGCCACCTATGGCAGCGCCAATGATGTACACCAACCAAGAAAGCTGTCCTGTAAATTTGTGGGCATTAAAAAAGAACAACAGGTTACAATGTATGCCCTGTGCAAGCTATCTTTTTTTTTTTTAAGAAATCTTGCAGGCTAAAGTAAGGTTCGAAATGTCTTTAAATAGTATACACTTAAACGTACAGACAACAAACTTCAGGAGAATAAATGAAGCCTTGTTACTACATGCTTGCTGTAAACATACTATTAGTTAAAATGCAATTGCAACAAATCTCTGATCAAGTCTCCATGAAGCTAACGTGGTCATTGAACGCTTAGATGGGTACTGACACAAAATTTCACGGCAGAGATAGGCTGTGGGATGAATTCTCGTAAACATGCAGATATTATCTGCGAAATATTAACAGCAAACATAGCTTGGAAGGTATTTTACAGGAAGTTTGAAGTTTGTGGGTGGGATTGAGCCTTGCTCCCTCAAGAGTGATCGAGGCTCACAGGCCTTTTAAAGGGAGCGGTGTTTATCGAATTATGTTGGATAAGAGGATTATAGGAAACCAGCAGATGTTTTTAATCACATTTATAGCTACCATGTATGTACCATGATTAGCTAAGGTGTCAGAAAACCCTTGACGAAGAGGCCCCATGCATTGCTTAGTATTTTCAACCCATGAGGCATCTGGAAGCAGCGATTAGTTAGGTAGCAGAAACAATAGTATAAATAATAAAATATGTTACCATTGTAAGGCATCGCACTACGTGCTAAGCAATTTCATCACACAAAAATGATCAGACAAAAATATGGTCCCAATCCAGCCTAATTTACATGAAGGAAGCCTTTTAAAGAGAGAGGGGCCCACCTTCGAAAATGGCCAAGTCAAGGGCTGGAGCCCCTTGATTTCCAGCTTCCCTGTATGCCTGAGCAGATTGGTCCAAAAGCTGCACCAACAGGGCACAGGTCTTCTCATATTCACAGCGGCCAATAGTTGATAATTGATCCAGTTGCTGCTGCACCATTCCCATGTCTTCCATTGGGTCTTCTAGGCCTTCTCTGTGACAAACAAATAGCTTACAGGAAGTTTTCAAAAAAGAAAAAGGTGATGTGCTACATCTGACAGCTCTGACTATAAAACATCCGTTGCTTGTTTTGAAATACTGCATAAGAACAACGAAACCAGAGTGAGACAGACTAATAAACATTCAAAAGTAAAAATTCCATTCTCCAGCATAACTAGACCATGATTAGAAGTACTCCTGGTGTCTGAGCTTACTGTATGCTGGTGTGTTATGGTGGGAAAAAAGGCACCCTCTCCCACTGCTCCACACATCACACTTGTCATAAAAGCCTCGCACAATTATATGCTGCCTGCTTATCAATCCCTACCCCTATACTGTCAGGGTTTGTATAAGTTCCTAGGGCAACAATCATGCAGTATTCAAGACCTTTCAATGCTATGTCTAAAGTTTTTGAAGGACGCAGAATGGAATTCAATTTAACCATTTTTTACACCAACAACATTCCTAAATAATATGAACAACTTTACCGCAAGCTCGTGCCAAGCTTGCGTAGAACCATTTGTCACCCTAGCGCATGGGGTTCTCAAACTGGGTTCCACAGAACACAGGGGATCTGGGAACGGCATCTTAAAGAGTGCCGCGAGTGGACAGAAGAAATGCAGCCCGCATCATTTTGCCCCCATTAGCGGCTAAATTATTTATTTAGATAAGCACATTTGTATAGTATTTTACATTTAATGAAGCCATTGCATGCCACATCTAATCATCGGGTATCTGTGTGCAATGAGAGACCCACGTGGTAGTAGCACTTGCAACTTGTCGTACAGTGCACGCCATGAAACTGACACTATTTGCAGACCCGTGGTGTCAGAATGCATGCAGCACTGGTAATTCATGCTCGTGAACATTCAAACTAGTTCAAATGACATGTAAGGCCACCTTGGCGCTTTATTTCTGGCTCATGGCGCATTGGCGATCAAGTGGCACAGTTTTCATACAAAATAATGCGTCACTGTTCTACGTCAGTTTTGATATCAAGCCTTGTAACAAGTGCTTTTTTTTTATGCACCTAAAAGGACCAGCCCACTGGCCAGAGGAAGCTGCACAGCTCACGCTGGCCTGTCCTAAGTTTACTGACATTGGCCGTTAAAAGCACACAGAAAACAGACATGCACCGGTGACCACCGTATAGCCTGGCCACAATTCACTTACTCATATAGGGAGGACGATGTGCATCGCGTTCCATTTTGACCGACCCCGTCTCATTAACGCTTTTTTTTATCTGCTAGGCTTTGCATTCTGGCACTGCAGTCACACTGTAAAACTTGACTGCACAGTGCCCATAGGTGCCACTTCATGCTGGCTGCAGGCTACACGATCTATCAGGCTTAGCTTTACGACCAGGGTGCTGGTCGATGGCAGTTTCATTGTGCGACTGGCAAGGTTCCTTTTTTGTTTTGTAAAAAACACAACAGGCATTTATACGCCTGGCACTTCACTTGAATGAACACATTGCTTACTCGTTACGCTGCCTGGCACTTAAGCATGTAATGTATGGTAGGCAAGCCCTTTGCATGACTCCCGGTATGGCACAAGAGGAAGAGGGGGCGGATATCGCCTCTATGTACTACCGAGAAAAATGTTAGAAGTTTTGCAGCACTCTGGAAAAGCCGTTGGGGGTTCTCCGACCCGAACCCCCAACCCTTAGCAAAATGAGATCCCACTGTCGGTCGCTTGCCCCGCCGCGGTGGTCTAGTGGCTAAGGTACTCGGCTGCTGATCTGCAGGTCGCGGGTTCGAATCCCGGCTGCGGCGGCTGCATTTCCGATGGAGGCGGAAATGTAGGCCCGTGTGCTCAGATTTGGATGCACGTTAAAGAACCCCAGGTGGTCAAAATTTGCGGAGCCCTCCACTACGGCGTCTCTCATAATCATGTGATGGTTTTGGGATGTTAAACCTGAGATATCAATCAACACTATCGGTCGCTTGAAGATGTAGCGCTTGCTTGAGAGGGGGCTTCTCAAGTCATTTTTGTCACATTTTTCTCATTTAGGCTGTTGCTCCTTTATCATGCCAGAAAAAAGGCATACAAAACAGCTGTGTTGTGAACCTTCACAACAGTTTACAAAAAAAAAATCGAAGAACTGGAAATCACCAGTCAAGGGCTACTGTTTTTCAGGCGAGTGATGCAAGCAAGAGTATTACGGCAGGGGAGACACTGTGCTTGAGGATGTTCACAAATTCTTTCTTGACCTAGAGTAAAGTTGCCGAGTTTATAGGAATTTGTACCTGGAATTCAAAGATATACAAATTATTTTTTTAGAACAACTTGTAGTTCTCGAAATATCCATTTCATGTGCCCTTTTGGGAGCTCTAGTTTGCCTAAACTGGGAGAGTTACAAAGTAAATTAGCATATCTCAATATCTGCAATAAAAATTGTTCGCAAGAACACAAGAATAAATGTTTTAAATCTGTCTGAACAAAAGTTACGGTACGTTAATCATTCATTACTGACACCCCAGCTAAGCACAGGCCCACTTATGAATCATTGTTGAGGTTTTACTTCCCAAAACTATGATATAGTTATGAGAGACGCCATAGCACAGGGCTCTGGATATTTCGACCAGCTGTGGTCATACACCTATATCTCACACGGACCTCTAGCGTTTTGCTTCCATGCATATGTGATGTTACAAACGATATACTACCCACCTGCAGTAGCGTGCAGAACACGCTACCCTTTGTGCAGTGCTCTACCTCCTTTGCCGGCACCTTTCAAAGAGACACTCGACGCGTGCTTCACAGACACCAAAGGCATCCCTCAGAGACCGTGCAGCGCGCGTCCAAACAGCGAAGCTGCGCCCTCCTCCTCGAGCATCTCAGCACTTATTAAAGGCCGGCGCATCTGGTGTCAGCTGCTTCCTTGCCCATGTTTTTGTACATGTGTTGTAAATTAAATGTTTTTTTTCCTTCTGGCTACCTTTTGCCTTGCCACTGCCTGGATACTTTCTGCCCAATTTGTTGGCCCTCGCATCACGCTACCCAAAAGACCTTGGAGCCTCTCGTAACAGTGATTTGCGCGGCTAAGAATCGACCCCGCAGCGTTTAGGTTCTCCAAAATAAAATAACTTTTCAAGTGGATTTAAACTTTTTCTCTTTTTCTTGGATAAAGTTCTCGTTACAGATTATTCTCATAAGCTGATTTATCCAGTAATTCTCAGTCTAGGGAAACCCTTGCTCCCAAAAAGAATATGAAATGTTTGATATTTTAAAAAATGAATTTTATAAAAGCGCGATAAATGGATATTTTAAACCTACACACAAATATACATAAACTGAGCACGTTTTGTCTCAATGGATAATTTTTTAGCCCATGTCTTCCCCATTATGTAATTTTCATTATACACAATACTACCAACTATTAAATGGGAAAAATATGATGGGCATGCTCACTTTAAAAATAACAATAATTGTTGAAGGTTTAACGTCCCAAAACCACAGTATGGTTATGAGAGACGCCGTAGTGGAGGGCTCCGAAAAGTTCGACCACCTTGGGTTCTTTAAAAGGCACCTAAACCTAAGCACACAAGCCTCAAACATTTTTGCCTCCATCGAAAATGCGGACACCGCAATTGGGATTTGATCCCACGATCTGCGGGTCAGCAGCAGGGTGCCCGATCGGGATTTGATCTCGCGATCTGCGGGTCAGCATCAGAGTGCTACACCTCCACTACACCTCCATGGCGAGTTGTGCTCACTTCAAAGGAGTGTGTGTTCATGAATTGACAGTATACAACAAACAGTTAGCAGCTGTACATTTCAAGAGAGTGCGCTGGCTTTTCAAGAAAACCTGGTTACCCATTCTTAAAGCAAGGGAATAAGAGTGCAAAAAAACACACCCACAAGAGAGAAGACAAACGCAGTGAGTCTGTGTCTTCTCTCTTGTGGGTGTGTTTTTGCACTGTTATTCCCTTGCTCCACAATGAACTAACTCGCATGAACAGAAGTTTTGATGAATTTTCATTCTTAAAGGTGCCCCACCCCGCAACACCTTTTTAGAAAAGCTGTCGGTCAGAAGTTGAAGCTCCTGAGAACACACAAGCCAAACATTATACAGTCACATCTCATTATAGTCAACTTTAGATTGACAAATTTTCAGATTGAAGACTTTTTCAGAATCCCCCTCTAAATGTCCATTAGTTTAATGTAAAAATATTTCACTACTACAAATTTCAGAATACCAAATACTTCAAAATAATGTATCCAATTTTATTCCCCCTATATCTCTACAACACTACAAAATAATGAATAGCGATTTCAAAAATTTCTAGCGGCTGTAAAATTAATGCCCAGCTCCGTACTCACCACTATCATTTTCATAATCAGAATGCCTGCATATTTTTTGTGTGCACGCCCTATCCAAATGTGTGATAGCCCAGCCACCATCATCATCGCCTGGCATTTGTTTTTGTTTTCGTTGGGCAGGTTAACCTGCGCCCTTGTTACACGGGTGTTTTCTAGCCTTTTAATTGGTAATGAAACGTTCAATACGAACTTCGAAGCAGCACAAAAGAAATGCAACGGCAGTGAAAATGTGACGTGAGTGACCTGTGGGAACAAGTCGTCGATGATTACCCATGTATACTTCAATAACGCTCGAATGCTACGCACAGTGCGACGACGAAGCATGCACGTGAACGGAGTCGAGACACTATATGATCTGTAACATTTGTCGTGATTAGAAAACAAGAACGAAGACGACATTTAAACAGCGCACAGACAAACATGAAGAATCGGTATTTAATGCGGATGCTTGGCAGTGAGCCTAAGTACGATGCGCACGCTTAACGGTTCATTTTTCAACAGTCGAGCTGCCCCCATCAGGATAGGTCGCGCTCTTCCTCAAATAAACGTGCACTGGTTTCGTGATAGTTCGTGTTTGTTTTTTCTCACTTACTAGAGCACAACGTGGTCGCTAATGTATACACAGCACAGGTCAGATACTCACGTGTTTGGGTTTATGTTTTTTGTGCA